AGCGTTCCCGAGGGACACAGTGACTTCGAGAACAATGTGATATTGGAGGCTACTTTGAAAAGGGGACAATTATTCCTGACATAGTCTGTTATGAAAAATAACCAATGTCTTGGCAGATGACACCCAGTGAGTCAAATCTATTCAATATTGACCGGCCACAAGAGAGGGGGTTTAAGGTTTGAAAATTAGAGGGCAACATTTTTGGAAGCCAAAGTGACTAGAGCCCTTTTTGGTAAAGAAGTGTGAATAATAAGAGTTTATAGGGATGAAGGGGAAAAAATACACTGTGTGGAATTCCCATGTAAAAAATGAACAAAAAAATTCACGAGACCAATTTTAAGTCCTTTTTAAAAGAAATCAAGAATAAATATTAACTTTATAAAAATAACACTTTTTTTTTGAAAAATACAATCATTTAAATCATGCCCTTTTCCCTTTTATTTAAAAAAATATTTAATAGAGTTATGCACCTGAGCAACGCTGGGTCCATCTTTTAGCATAGTATACAGGCAGTCCCCGGGTTACGTACAAGATAGGGACTGTAGGTTTGTTCTTAAGCTGAATTTGTATGTAAGTCGGAACTGGTACATATTGTAGGGGAAACTCTAGCCAAACATTTCTCCAGAGCTCAGTTTTATTCTCCCACACCTCACTTCCCTCAGTCCTTTATTCTCAAGCTGAGGTGTCTGCTGAGAAAAGCAGCTCCGCGTCTCCCTGGTCTGCTGGGGGGAGGGGGGGGGCGGTGCTAGCTTCGCGTCTCCCTGGTCTGCTGGGGGGAAGCAGCTAGTGTGGGGTTGCCTCACCCCATTTGTAAGTAGGGATCTGATGTAACCCGGGACTGCCTGTAATTTCTTAATCCCACAGGCTGGGAACCACTGATATAATCTGTCCTCCTGGCTAGCACAAAAACCCACCACATTTACTTGCAAGTCAGCATGTTTTAATGATTTCTAATCAGCACGGTTTAGGAAAATAAAGTACAAATTCAAAACAGGATTCAAATAAATGGTTAGATTAAGGGTTTGTGGTTGGTGGTTTTTAAAGTGCTTTGATTTAAATCAGTCCACTCTGCTCTGAAAAGTCATTCTTTGAGATCCTAGATTAGACTGAAGGGTGTTCTCTGAAAACCAGTTTCATTGTTTGCTTGTGATCACTGATTAACAGCCATTTAATGATAGAACGGCGACACAACATCTATTAGGAAAGGGATGGAGAACAAGGCAGAAAATATCATCATGTCTCTACATATCAATAAGGGCATGTTATTTACTCCTTCATGTAACAAGAACTAGGCACCATAATTCCTGATTCATAGTATGAGTATTTCCTTGTCCATAAGTATCGTTGCCAGATAATTTCACAAAAAATCCCGAACATGGCAGGAAAAAAAATTGTTTGAGAAAAAAAAAAAAAAAAGCCACACAACAACAACAAAAAGAGTCACTGCGCCTTTAAATCCCCACGCCCCCCCCCACCCCCTCCAGATATGGCAGAGAAAGAATGTCCCAAGCAGCCTTCTGTCTGCGAAAAACAGAAAATGTCCAGTATTTTCTCCTTTTTTTTGGTTTTAAACCAGGTAGATGCCTGGCAACCCTATCTGTTTGCCAGAATCCGGGAGTAGGACAGCGGATGGATCATCTGATTCCCTGTTCTGTTTGCTCTTTCTGAAACAGAAAGTACCCTGCACATAGGGTCCCATTACTGTTCCTTTTCAGCTGGTTTGTTTGACCAGAACAAGGCATTTAGGGTCATTGGTTATTTTTCATAACAGACTTTGTCAGGAAGAATGGTTCCTTTCTCAAATTGGCCTCTGTTATCTTAGGGTGTGTCTAAATGACACGGCTTCATCGATGGAGCCATGTAGATTAGGCTGATCAGCAAAGGGAAATGAAGCCGTGATTTAAATAATCGCGGCTTCATTTAAATTTAAATGGCTGCCGCGCTGAGCCGACAAACAGCTGATCAGCTGTTTGTTGGCTCAGCGCGCTAGTCTGAATGCTCAGCGCGCTAGTCTGTATACATCAAAGGCATTGTCGACCTCCCCGGTAAACCTCATCCCACAAGGCATAACAGGGAGGGCGACA